CCTTTAATAAATGCAGGCACATTTTTAGCGCCTATTCATACTAAATCAGTTGTCCCTCCCCCTGGTGCCAGGTCCAACAGATCCATCTTTAGGCTCAGCAGCCCTGTCCCCCCATAAGGCTGAACCTGAACCAGCTTTTCTCCCAACTGAAGGAGGTGAGCAGCATTGTGTTGAATGACATGCCACTATCTGAAGGGAGACTGGAATACAAAATAAATAAATATATATATATATAACAAAAAGCTAACATCTAATTTAAATTATACATTTCAAACACAGTATTTTCCCACATAGCCAATGATCTATATAAAACAAAAAACTGCTTTTAGTCTATTTAGGATGATGGACAGTTTGAAGCATTGAGTGATCAATCTGTAAACAAAATGTTAATCACCGACATTTTGGCTATGATATTAATACTAATGTTATTATATTAAAGCAGGGGTGGGGAACCTCTGGCCCCCGGGCCGTATACGGACCGCTAGACCAGTGGTTCCCAAACTTTTTGTGCCCAAGGCACACCAAAGGACAAGTAAAAAATCTCAAGGCACACCTATTGTGCAAAATAGCCCTTATAACACGTGTTATCACTCATATCATGTAAAATATCTGTAAATGTGCATAATTATTTACTAATGCAAAATAAAATGTGACAAAGACAACTATATTACTCATGAAATATTTATTAACGAAATATTTCAGAAATTAATTTGAAACTTTATCAAATTAGGCTTCATCAAAGCAGCAACACACTCATTTAAACCAGACAGGTCACAACATAAAAAATGAGGCAGAGGAAACTCAGCAGAAATTCAGCACAGAGAACTGTCAATGCAAGGAAGCTGCATTGTCCATGGTCCTGAACTACAAATTATAAATGTAACATTTCAGCAATCAGCATTGAAACATGTGCTATTGTAAATATGTTTGCCGATTTACAAATTAGTGAGATACATGTGCCTGTTGGGGCGCGCAGATTTTTTTAATCCTTGGTGGCACTGGGGAGAGGGCCACTCGCAAGTCCTGTTCAACAGAGAGCCGTGACCTCCTGTTGTTCTTCATGTAAACCAGAGTAGAGAACGCCAACTCCAGAGATGGGGTCGTTACTAAAAAAATGTAATATATTACATATTACTTTTTAAAAAAAAGTAATATATTACACTACTTCGTTACTATCTACATAAAGTAACTCGTTACTTTACTCGTTACTTTACTCGAGCACGTACGAACTGGGCATGCGTGAGTGGCAATAACTTTACTTACCAGCAGGCGGCGGTAGTGTGTATTTGTCATTCAAAACAGGCAACAACCGGAAGACAGAGAAGAAGAACAGACTACGTGATATAAACAAACAACAAATAGCGTGTGCGTTAGCTTCACCTTAGCATGTGTTCTTTGCAGGTGTTTGTTGAGGTTTGACGTGGTGTTTCCAGCAGTGGATAACAGCTTCTGGCCTGGACACAGTTTGCACCTCACCGTCACATTCCTGTCTATTCTTCGGACGAACTCAAAATGATGGGCATACCTCCACCCCTCGAAAGTTATCGCTGACTCAGCCATGTTTATGCAGCACTGCACCTGGAGATGTGGACGCGCAAGTCGCGCAGATTACGTACATATAAACCTACAAAGTACTGATATAGTAAATAAAAAATTAAATAATAATTGTTGTGTAGTTGTATATTGCAATAATAACGTATGGTTGTCACAAAATCCCACGGCACACCCGGACTTGCCTCACGGCACACCAGTGTGCCGCGGCACACCGTTTGGGAACCACTGCGCTAGACCATTTGGTACGGCCTCACTTGGAATTCCAAGTATGCTGGAGATTGGAACAGTCCTTCGGCGGCACTCGATGACGTAGCATCCTTGAAATATTGGCTTGGAAGCCAGTTTCCTCGAGATTGAGAAACGGCCCGTGTCTTTGCAGGTCCTTTAAGGTGAAAAGTGGGCGTTTGTGGATCAAGTCAGAAGGAAGCAGCCGTTCAGTTATAAACAGGAAGTTGACTGAGAATGAATCCAAAATAAAAGCATCAGGTGTTAACGCTCACCAAAAAGATGTATTTCACAAGAACATACACCTATGGTTAAATAGTATAGTTGAGTGTATCATGTAATGAACAAATGAGTGAACATTGAAATGAATATCAATAAAGAATACTTAAGAAAAGTTCCAATGTCGTACAGTATTATTTGAAAATGCTGGACAAAAATCAATGTATTTCCCAGTTTCGTTGGTTTTATTTTTGAAAGTTCCGACAGCCAGAAGTTCTGTTTTATTCACGCTGACTTTATCTAGTGTTGACAAAGTCGTGTCTTGCACTTGGAAGATGTCTGCAGAGAAAGAGGGAGATATGTTGTGCTTTTTTATCAACGGGAAAAAGGTACGCATTTAATAAATAAATAACCATGTTTTAGTTTTAGCTGTTAGCCAGTAATTTTTTCTGCTAAAGTCTGTCACAAATGCTGCAAATTAGTTTACACGAATGTTAAAAGTTGTATTTTTGACTCATAAAACAGTGTGAGGGATTTAGAGAATTAGAATACACGCTTAAATTGAACTAAAAGTAGTTTTTAAGTCATGAACTGCAAACGGTGAGCCTTCAGAATCTGGGACGGAAATGGGTTTAAAAAAGAAAACCTCCAGAACAACAGTTTTAGCATCACACAACTGTAACATTGTATGAAGAAATACTTATATCTGATGAACCTAAACTACTTTTTGTTATATTTTCTGAGAGATACAAAAACCGCAATAAAGTTAATATGAGATTGCAACATATTACATTAGATTCAAGGTTCAAGGCTTTTATTGTCTTTATTGCTACAGTGTAGTTAGGACAATGAGATTCTTAGATCACAGTCTCCTCCAACAGTGCAACACAATACAACAGATAACATAGTACAGACAGAGTACAGGTCAATAAAATAGAATACAATATAATAGTAAATGCAGAATAGCAGAATTCATTGAGATTAGATAGATTAGATGTAATTAATTGATCTCATATTGGGAAATGATATTGGTATAAGAAGCATAATTTAAGAAAGCGTTTAAAGCAAACATATCAATAGAAATGTATGTGTATCTATTGATTATGTAGACATCGTTGCAATACTTTAAGCTCTGGACATTGAGCATGTTTCTCAATGTTGTTCTTTTTTTGACTTAATGACAGAGAAAATATGTTGTGTCTCAACTGTATTCAGTTTTCTGTCAAGGTGGGATTTGGTTTGCAACTATTGAATGCATGTGTGATATTTTCTTTGGATGCAAAGTAAGTTTAATAAGAGAAATATTTAACTTGTGTTAAACAGGTAACAGAGAAGAATGCTGACCCTGAGACCATGCTGCTGTCCTTCCTCAGAGAGAAGCGTATCCTTCAGACCAAACACACACACTAAATACAGACTGTATTTAACAATGAAATGTGCAATGGCTTCTGCAATTCATTTCTATTACTGGCTGCAACTACACTACTTTTTATATGTTCCCCTACTTTAAAAAAAAAAATGTATTAAGTGTGCTTGCATCTTGGTTATTTCCCTTGACGCTGGCTGCAGTGAGGTTAACGGGAACTAAGTCTGGCTGCGGGGGGGGAGGCTGCGGGGCGTGCACCGTCATGGTGTCCCGCTACCAACCTGCCACCAAAACCATCATGTATCCTTTCTGATAACAATGGAGGACCACTGGAGTATATTTTCTGCAGAACACACAGTTTCCCTTCACCTTACTTTCAGGCATTTCTCAGCGAACGCCTGCCTGCTGCCGCTCTGCTCGCTGCAGGGAGCCGCCGTCACCACCGTGGAGGGGGTCGGCAGCACCAAGAGCCGCATCCACCCAGTGCAGGTCAGTGAGGGACGCCTTGCTCATGAGCACCTCAGCATTAAGTGCTGAGGGGGAAGAGAGCGATCATTTGCTTCCTCCATTTCCCAAAGTTACGTGCATGAATGTTACAGCAATTGTAAATGCCTCTGGATGTACAGCCCCAAACACACTTCCCTTTTAATGCAAAACACACCTTCGTCAAGGAACAAATGTATGAGTTAAAGATTTTCTTTTTGATGCTGTGCTTTTTTAGGAGCGGATAGCGAAGGCTCACGGCTCTCAGTGCGGTTTCTGCACCCCGGGGATGGTGATGTCGATGTACACCCTGCTGAGGAACAAACCCCAGCCCAGCATGGAGGACATCACACAGCACCTTGCCGGTCTGTCTGCTGGATTTGATTCATAATAGCTATATATAACGCACCTTTAAAAATACAACACACAACAAGAATTACATGTTAAAAGCAGATCTGAAAATGTGAGTTTTGATTTGTGATTTTAGAAATTGGTGCAGTCGTGCCTTTCCCATGAATCCAGTTATTTTTATATTCATGTGAAAACACCAAGTGATTATGAATGAAGTCTCACAAATCTGTCATGCCTCCTTATTCTGTGTTTTGTTTTTCCAGGAAATCTGTGTCGCTGTACTGGATATCGGCCCATTATCGACGGCTGCAGGACTTTCTGTCAGGTACAAAGCTCCGCTCTGCAGGGAATACAAGTTATATCATTCTGTTTTTGCAACACTGTAACTTAATGTGTCTGCAGAACTGGTTAATGTCACCAGGCATTGACTAGCAAACACAAGGAAAAACATTAAGGATTAATTTTACTCCAACTAAAACCAACAGGAAGAAAACTGCTGTCAAGCTAATGGAGCCGGAGACTGTTGCCTCAATGGAGACAAAAATGATGATGAAGCAGAGCGTGTGAGTTTAAGTAAAAATAAATGTCTTGCTTTTCTAGTTATTTGTCTTTTTTCTATTTCCCTTTTTTTAAGCATTTAAAAAACAAATAATGGTACGGAGCAAAAACATTTAAAAATAAATGAATAACCAACTAGAGGAGCAGAGGAAGGAAAAACATTCACTTACTGATCTTGCCATGGTGTCCCATTAAGTGCTAGTTTTCCTCCTCTCTCAATGTTCTGCAGGAAAAGCCACGGTTGTTCAACAAGGAGGAGTTTCTTCCTCTGGACCCGACCCAGGAGCTTATCTTCCCTCCTGAACTGATCGTAAGTCATGAGATCTTTTTTCAAGCAACAAGAAGTTAAAATGTAACACACTGCTCAGAGTGTTTACTCAGAGAGGGTCATTCCAGGTCGAGTTTATCCAATACTGTTCCCATAAAGCTGCAGTATTAAAATGCAACTTTCTCCACAGCTGATGTCAGAGAGTGCGAGCCCACAGACACTCACCTTCCAGGGGGAGAGGATGCGCTGGGTGTCCCCCTCCTCCCTGCAGGAGCTGCTGCAGCTGAAGACCAGAAACCCTGCAGCTCCTCTGGTGATGGGGAACACAACCATAGGTCAGATTGATTTTAGGTTAATTCAGACTTTCTGCAGCTGTTCCTTTGACAGTTTATCACAAGTAAAAAACAGTCATAGGATCATAAGTAGGCATGATATAGTGAGTCATTACTGTCCAAGTTGACCTCCACTCTGATTCCTGTTAAAGGTCCAGATATAAAGTTTAAAGGCACCGTGCACCCGCTGATAATCTCTCCAACCAGAGTGATGGAGCTGTTTGAGGTCACTCAGACTCCACAAGGTAAAAACACATTTACAATTTATATTTGTAAATAATTATCGTACAGATAATAATTCTTTCTGCCAGTGCAGAGTATAAAAGTACAAACAGAGTTTTTTTTCTAAACTCCTCTCCACAACTTTTCAGGTGTTTGGGTGGGGGCGGGCTGCAGTCTCTCTGAGCTTCAGTCTCTTCTGGAGAAGCTGCTGCTTCAGAGTCCACAGGAGAAAACTGAGCTGTTCAGAGCTCTGATCCAACCGCTGGGGAACCTGGGAAGCCAGCAGATCCGTAACGTTGCTGTAAAAACACTTTACTCATTTATTATCTAGTAGGGGTGTAACGGTTCACAAACATTTCGGTTCGGTACGTACCTCGGTTTTTAGGTCAAGGTTCGGTTCGGTACGTTTTCGGTAGAAAAAATTATCACAAAACATAACATATTTTTTGTTTTTTTTAAATTATTATTAAACTGTGAATAATGTATTCACTCAAATAAATACAAAATATAATAAAATAAACATTAAGGTGCAGCATTTTGATTAACTGAAATAATCTGTATTTGAACTTTACTGTATTAGTACTAGTGTTGCACGGTGTACCGATACTTGAAAGGTACCGCGATACCCTGCCGTTAAAAACGGTACGATTCCTCCATTTCATTAGTATCGGTACTTTAAGAATGACGGGGAAAAGTACTCCGGTGAGAAAGCGCCTTTTTAATAAGAGCCGTGTGTGTTCAGCGCTCTGCTTCCATTCCCTGCACTGCAGCCGTGCCTGAAGTCCCTCCCCTCTCAAGCACGTTCTAAGTCCCACTCGTGCACTCGGCCACGCGCTAGCTGCCAGAGCATGTGAGAAAACGAGAAGCATGG